ACCCTGGGTGTGGTGCAAGCCTCCTCAGAACTTTGACCACAGAAAGCCATGTGGTGGGGCCCCTTCAGCGGGCCTCATCCAGATGGTTTATTTCTGGGGAACCTCCATTTTAAAGAGGAAGACACTGAGGCTCAGAGAAGTCAGGTAACTTGCCCCAGGTCACACAGCTAGTGAGTTGCAGACCTCGGATTTAACACAAGAGTTCTGGTTCCAAAGTTTATTCCTTCCTGCATACCACACTCCACAGTTCACTACCCGAAGACCATTCTCCAAAACATCAAGTTCCCTGAAACACAGCTATGTATTCACCAAAGGGACACTGCTTCTTCCTGTTTTCAGGTTACATAGGACTATGTCACCCTCCTTTTTCTTAACGTATCCTTTGTGTAAAGTGATCATAGTGCTTTACTAGCAAGTGGTTAAGATGAGCTAATTTCCAGGTTGTGTCAGCCAGGCTGTACCCTAATCCACAGTGGAATGTTGACAAAATTGGTTTCCTCATAAAAACAATTTGTAAATATTCCCTGCCCTTTTGATATTCAACTTGGACTCTAACTTGGGTAGGGAAGCCCCATAGCTGTATTCTCAATTGTATGGAGAGCTTGGATGAGGCTCTGGGGGCAAGGGGAGGGCTGGGCTCATCACCCTGACTCCCACCTGCAGCACTCACCTGCCGGGTCAACGTTTCTTTACCTCATTTCCTTGTGCCCTCTTGTGGTCAAGAGTGACGTGCGTGCCCAGAAGGCTCAATGTGAATTCCAGGGACTGATCCCAGCTGCAGTTCCCAGTTTTGGGTGGAAACTCCCCAGGGCACAGCACTCCCCTTCTTATGAACCTAGGTATTTCCCCACCTTATGAAAGTCAGTTTAACTTTTCTAATTATAACACAAACACATTTCCAAATTTTAGAAATTTTGGAAAATACAGAAAAGTGTGAAGAAAATAAAAATCACGTATACTCTGACCCAGCAGAGAGAGTCACTGTCAGAGTTTGGAAACATTTCCCCAACATTTCTTCTATGCACACACACACACACACACACAGAGCATCTATTTAGTTAATATATATTGTATGTATTATCAATCTATCACCAGCCCAGAGGTAAACCATTACCAATGTCCATGTCTATGGGGCTCCCCTGGTGGCTCAGATGGTGGAGAAACCGCCTGCAGTGAAGGAGACCTTGCTTTCTCTTTAAGTAAAATTGTAACACTTGCATACACACACATACACACACACACGGAGTTACACTGTACTTAAACTTTTGTTCCCCTAACTCCACTTTTTTAAACTGGGCCTTTCCCTAAGATTATCAGATATTATCAGAACACATGGTTGAACCATATCCCAAAATATGGGTGTATTACAATTTAATGAATCCTCTGAATGTCAGTCATTCGATTCAGTTCAGTTCAGTTCAGTCGCTCAGTCATGTCTAACTCTTTGCGACCCCATGGACTACAGAACGCCAGGCTTCCCTGTCCATCACCAACTCCTGGAGCTTTCTCAAACTCATGGCCATTGAGTCGGCGATGCCATCCAACCATCTCATCCTCTGTTGTCCCCTTCTCCTCCTGCCTTCAGTCTTTCCCAGCATCAGGGTCTTTCCAAATGAGTCAGCTCGTCGCATCAGGTGGCCAAAGTATTGGAGCTTCAGCTTCAGCATCAGTCCTTCCAATGAATATTCAGGACTGATTTCCTTTAGGATGGACTGGTTGGATCTCCTTGAAGTCCAAGGGACTCTTAAGTCTTCTCCAACACCATAGTTCAATAGCATCAATTGGTTTTTAATTTCCTGCTGCTGTAATTAATTCAAGCTACTCAAGATGAACCTTTGCACAAGTCTATTGCCTTGAGGCAAGTTGTCAGACCTGGAGTTTAAGGGTACCACATACACCCTAAACATATAACAACATAGTCTTGGATCTCTGTCCCTCTGCCCTGGAAGCCATTCCCCTCGTTCACCTGACACATCCCTGACACAGTGAGGGGCTTACACCTCTGGGGCCCTGAGATCTGCTGCCCCCTAGAGGAGGCTCACGGACAGGGCTAGTATCTCCTCTTCAAAGATGCCAAGGATTCGAAGAACTGACTCATTGGAAAAGACCTTGATGCTGAGAAAGATTGAAGGCGGGAGGAGAAGGGGATGACAGAGGATGAGATGGTTCGATGGGATCATCGACGCAATGGACATGAGTTTGAGCAAGCTCTGGGCGTTGGTGATGGACAGGGAAGCCTGGCATGCTGCAGTCCATGAGGTCACAGAGTTGGACACGACTGAGCGACTGAACTGAATTGAAAACAAGTGGGCCCCTTTTCTTCAAAGAAACAGATTTAAATAACATTGCTGGCTTCAGAATCTTAATTTTCCTTACACTTAGGGCAATTGAGATACCAAATCTTCACTGTAGGCTTTCTGTTCTCCGTTTTTTGTTCTTTTTCAGGGGTGGGAGCTGGGGGAGTAAAACTATACTAACCCTTTGAGATTTTTCTCTCACAAAGGTAACAAAGGCAGACAGGGCGGGTTATCTTGACTAGAGCAGGTGACCTGGGTTGGAAACCTGCTCACCAGGGCCTCTGGACACACACAGCACAGATGCTTCCGGGTTTGTGCTCGCCCATCAGTTCTGAGCATGGTGCCCTGTACGCAGTAAGCACTCAGCAAATGTCCCACAAAAGAAGGCATCTAAAGCACCTTCCCTGCCCTAAAATTCTGGTTCTAGACATTTTATAGGAAAAGAATGCCAGGTGATTAGGATTTGGACTGAGAAAGTCCTTTCTATGCCTCCCAAGATTCAGAACCCAGTGTGGGTAGGCAGGGTGTGAGAACTAACTGTAGTCTGGAGGTGGCTGAGGCCAGAGGCTTGATGTGAATGTTGAGAGCAACTGTGGATCCTGCTAAGCCAGCAGGGTCAGAGCGATGGGAAACAAAGGAATGATTCCCTCTGCAGCTGTTGTTTTCCGGAACAATTTCTTTTACCGCCTCCCTGCATTTTGGGAGAGAGGGGAGGTCCTCTGTGTGTGACCTGGGACTGGTGTTATCAGGTCCCTTCAGAAGGAAAGACTTTGGATGAAGAAGCCCAAGGAACGAATGTTGCCAACTTTCCGTTAGAAGTGGTTTTTATAGCCTTTAATGATCTGCTGGGCCCGACAAAGGCCAGGTCTGTGCCAAAGTGCAGGCTGAAGTTGTGGCTCTAATATTCATCTGGATGTGAATAAATCTAAGTTTGCTTGCGTGACTTTTAATCGCCTATAGCATATTAATTTTCGTCTGTGTTATTAACTAATGAACATTATCCATGTGCCAGGTGGATCACTGTGTACTCTGGATACCTCACCGTCTTTACTATATCAACTACAATCCTCTGAAGTAGACCTTATTCGGTTCTGCCTCACAGATGTGGAAACAGAGACATAGAGTTGCTCGCCAACAACCACAGGGTTGGCAGATCTGAGGTGCCAACCCAGCCTCTTTTGACTCCAAAGCTCACTTTATTTAGCCTACTAACTTATATTGCTTTGCCAGTGACATTGATCATTTTTCTGCCTCCTTTTCCAAGTCTCACATTATGAGTCCTCTGGGAGCAAGTGTCTTACTTATCTTTTCTTAGCCTGAAATGCTTAAACACAGCAGGGAAATCATCTTTGCCTCTGGTTTCAAGAAGCAACCTGGTATCATGTTCTGAGAATCAAAGACTTTGTGGGGTTTTTTTCTTTTCAACCTTTTTATCTTGAAAAATAATTTAAGACTTACAGGAAAGATTCAAGAATAATGCAATGAAGATCCATAGATCCTCCACCTAAATACACCAATTGTTAATATTGTGAATGTTTTTTCTTGACCATTTGAGAATTTGTTGCAGACACACGCTATGTCTCTTATGAATTAGTATCTGAAGATGAATAGATATATGAATTATATATCTCCTAAAAAACAGGCCATTTATCCATGCATGTGTGTTAGCATGTGAGCGCTGTCACATCCGACTCTTTGCAACCCCATGGACTGTCGCTCATCAAGATCCTCTGTCGATGGGGTTCTCCAGGCAAGTGGGTTGCTGTGCCCTCCTCCAGGGGATCTTCCTGACCCAGGGATTGAACCTGCATCTCTTTATCTTCTGCATTGCACAAGGATTCTTTACCACGGAGCCACCAGGGAAGTCCCCATTTCTGCATAATCAAGGTATAATCATTACCCTCAGGAAATTTAACATTGCTGCAATACTAATACAATCGACATTCAAATTTTCTCAATTGTCCCAATAATGACCCTCAATAGCTGCTTTTTGTTTTTTGATCCAGGGTGCAATTTAAGATTGCATGGCTCTCAGGGTCATATCTTTCTTTTGTCTCCTTTAATCTGGAACACTTGACTAGTCTTCTTAACAGTTCATGAAGTTCACGTTTTTAGAAGAGCCCAGGTGGTTGTTTTGCAGAACTGTCCCTCAACTGGATTTGCCCGTTTCCTCTGAAACGGAGAGAAAGAACTTCTTGGGTGAGTCATTCTCACACTAGACATCAGCCTGTACCATCCCTGGCGCCGCGCAGTTCCATCACTTGGTTTAGGAGATGCGTCTGATGTGAAGGTACCCTTTTCTCTTCACTAAGTCATCTATGGGATGATACTTTGGAACTGGACGAATATCCTCAAGCGTCCAGCATCTATTGATGAATTCTGCCTGACGCAGTTCTTGGTGGCTTCAAAGCGGGGGTTTTCTGTTTCAGTAATTTCTTGTACATTTATGAGTTGGAAATCTTCTCTAAAGGTGAGCTGTCCCTCATCCACCTCCTCTCTTCCTTTGAATTACTCCTCCAGTGTCATCTTTTAAGTCACGCCACTTACCCCCTGGGGACCTATGTTCCTCATCGTTAAGATGAGGTGACCTAAAGGCCACATTCTTGAATTTCAGTCACTCTGAGATGGAATCCCCTCACAAGTCTGTCAGGCATCCGCCTGAGAAGGACGCGGCGGGGGCAACCCCTCCACGGGCAAGGGTCGCTAGTGGGCTCCGCGCCTTCTCGCGAGAGCCGGCCCCTCGGGGGATAAAGGCGCGGGCGCCGCGCCTGCGCGCTCACGTCCACCCCGCCCGCCCCCGCGCGCCGGCCCCCGCGGCACGCGCGCGCACTCGGACAGTTGAAGGTGTTGGGCCTCCTCGGGCCCGCGGCGCGCGCCCCCGGAGCGACTCTCCGGCGCAGCCGCGGCGCGGGGCGCGGGGCTCGGGGCGCGCAGGCGCCACGGGCGTGGGGCCGCGCAGGCGCGGACGGCGTTGGTCCGAAGAAGACCTTCAGCGGTGCCCTGGCGGAGCGGACAGGCCCCTCCTAGCGGAGCGGACGGGCCCTCCGGTCGGAGGTGAGGCGAGCCGGGGCCGCGGGCTGGCGGCCGGGCGGGGGCCGGGCGGCCGGGCGGCCATCCGGCAGGGACCCGCGGGAGGCGGCTAACGGAGGCAGGGCCGCCGAACGGGGCGCGGGCCCGCGGGCGGGGGCAGCGGGAACCGGTTCTTCCGGGGACGGGCGGGCCGCGCCGCCACCTGCGCCCCGGCCCGGCCGGCACCCAGGAGGCTGGCTTCGAGGGAAGGCGGGTCCGCGAACTCCCGAGCCCCGGCTTCCTCTCCGGCCTCGGCATCCAGCATCAGGGGGCCCCTCTCTCCCTGCCCCCGAGGGGAGGGTGCTGGACGTACAGCTGACGGAGGCGAGGCGAGCCGGCTGTCCCCACGGTGATGCTGTTGTAGCCACCGCCCCCCCATCCCCCGACCCCGCCACCTCCCCTCGCTCCCCGCCCCCGCCTGCGGCTCCGGCAGCCCGGGGGCGCCGTGCACGTCCACGGACGAGTGCATCGGCAGAGCCGCGGCAATGTGTTGGAACGTGACGTGTCTGGGGCTTCTCGAGTTTTTGCTTGCTCATACCAGCAGTGCATTTCCCTTCGGGATCGTGGGCCTGGAAAAGAAAGCTTGAACTGGGCACATTTGAGGTCAGACGACCCCTCCCCCCCACGCGACTTTGCAGTGTCTAGCAAGTGCTTTTGTAAAAGAAGCAAAATGCTAGAAGTCTGTAATGGGACCCTGGATGGAGGTTTCTAAATACTGAAGTGTATCTTTCGTTTTTTTTTTTTTTTAAAGCAAACTGTAAAACCTTAACGTTTCTAATATTTGAGTACATAGTGCCTGGTTTCTATACTTAACCTTTCAAATTATGGGCTTCAGGCAGAATTTCAACAGGTACCACAGTCGTTTGTGATCATAAAGAGTAATATCAGATTGCAGTTGGCAACGTTTAAAAAGTCTCAAATTGATAGTTGGGACACAGAGGACTTGTGTTGTAGATTAATTGCTCTGGAAAAGAACTTTGAAACCTTGTGGCCCAGAACAAAGTTTTATTATAGTATGACTCAATACACTTATCTTCTTCATCTTTATTCTTTCCACTTAACTTTATATATATTCTTATACTCTGTTCTCTTAACATATCCTAATGTCTGTCATATTTGACAGGTTTAGGTTAAGGAACACATTTTAAATGAATTCACAGTGAAGAAATGCACCATGAAGTGTGTATGTGGTGGTCAGGTGTGGTGGGATAGGCAGAAGCTTACTTATTAGCAAGAGGCCGGACTAAGAGCTCTGCTAAATAGAAGTAAATAGGTTTGAACGTGTAGGTGGTTGAGGCATCGTAATTGCAAGGGCTCGCTGGTGCTCTGGATTTTACTGGGGGGTAGTAATGGGGTTAACAGGGGCTTCCCAGGTGGCTCAGTGGTCAAGAATCCACCTGCCAAGGCAGGAAACGCAGGAGAGGCCGGTTCAGTCCCTGGGTGGGGAAGATCCCCTGGAGGAGGAAATGGCAACCCTCTCCAGTATTCTTGCCTAGAGAATCCCATGGACAGAGGAGCCTGGCAATTTAGCATGCACAGTGGGGCTAATGGGGTTGCCTGAGGTGCTCCAGCATGACTTTTGAGGATGCTGCTGGAAGAGATTTCCTGTTGTGCAGAAAGGGCAAAGAATGGTATATTCAGCATTGTTGGTCGGCCTGAGAATTTTGATGAGGATGAGGGTCATCTTGGCAGCAGAGAAGCTGACTGAATCCTCAGGCAAGATGAAGTGAAGCACCTAGGGTGTTTGAAGACTGTAACTTTTAGAGTGTATACTGATTTTTGGTAAGCACATTACTGCAGGTAGGATCTATCCTCTGAATGGTTAATAGCACTGTATTTTAAGAAGAGTTTTGAGAGAGTGCACATTCTGGATGAATACACTTCAATTAGTGTAACTCTTAACTGGATTTCAGAGTGGCAAAAATGTTAGCTCTGAAGACGTTTGCATCTGCTTTACAGATCCTCAGAATATTTGCTTTGTCATCTTACACAGCCCTCTGGCTTTATGACTGCCCAAGACATGTTTTACTAATGTACACTTTTGCATCCTTTTAAAAAGTGAAAGTCCAGTTTAACAGAACATCTGCTTCAGCCTTCAAGAAATTTCTCTTTGAAAGGCAATCAGAAAGATGACCTCTGAATCTCATGAAAAACACCCTTTCATTCTTCAGATTTCTGGAAAGCTCTTTTTAAAGGAGCAGCGTGCTTTCTCTGAACTTTGCTTGCCTTAGGAGGTAAACATTAATGATGCAAAGCAAGAAACATTGTATACCTCTTCTTACAGGACTAAACACTTGAACAGTCAATAAGTACTAAATATTATTTATTCCCTGTCCTTATTTTTCTTTATAAGATATGTGTAACACACCGACTTACTGTGACCTAGGAAAGGCTGCCAAAGATGTCTTCAACAAAGGATATGGTAAGTATGCTGTTGTAAACTGCCAGTGTGGGGTAAGCATTCATACTGAATGCCTAAGATATGGGCGCTACTGTGCTCAGTAAAATGAGGTTAAGTCAACATTAATCTATTTCACAAGATTTAAGGGGAAAACTATTAGCAGGTTACTAGACTTCTTTTTTTAGAGGTGGAGTGCCACAAGCATTAAAAGCCATTGTGTACATAAACACATAATATTTGCATATTTAATATTATCTGTGGGGTGAAATAGTATAAATCTGTAATGTATGTGCCTCCTTTGGTTAGCTTTGGGGACAGTTAAAGCAAGGAGTGTGTTTTTCCTCCTCCAGATACTCACAATGTTTTCATGAGCATGAAACCCCAGCTTTTGACTTCTTTGGAGGAACATACAGTGTTTGAAACCAAGTAGACATTTAGTTTTGGTTTTTAAAATGTAGTCTTGAAATTTTTAAGTTTTTGTGCTGTACACATTTGATTTTTTATTAATTAATAGTATTAATTATGTATTTTAAGCTTGTGTATATGTATAATTTCTGATAATTTTCGTTCTTAAAAGAATGCATTTTTCTTTCATCCATTGGTTTTTTTCACTTATATTTATGTCTTTATTATTTTGGCTTTAAAAATTACGCTTAATTTTTGTTAGCATTTTGTTGTAATTTTTGGTTACAATTCAATTTTTGTTAGAATTTTGTTATAATTCAATTTCTTACGGAACTCTCACCTAACAGGAATACTGAATATTTTCCATATGAAATGTACTACGGACTATTTTCATAATTTCTAAATTGTTAAGACTGGAGTGGATGTCACATTTTGTACATCACTTATTTTGTGTGTGTGTGTGTCTCTAGGATTTGGCATGGTCAAAATAGATCTGAGAACCAAGTCATGTAGTGGAGTGGTAAGTACTTAATATACTGTTAATAGATGTAGCATAATTAAAGGAACCTGTTTGAAAATCATTGTTTAGTCAAGTCACTTGAAACAGCATACCTTTGGCGCTACGCTATCTTCCCTAAAGCCTTGTCCTCCTCTCAGATTTCAGAGCCACTGAGCCAGTTGAGCCCAAGGACGATCAAGCTGAATCTGGGGGGAGATCTTAGTTTGTCATTATAAAAGTATTCTGAGTCTTACTCTCAGAAGATATAGAATACATGTGTATACGTATCTATGTGTGTGTATATATACATATTTATGCCGTATTTTTATACTTTTGTGAATATGTATGTGGACACTAAAATCTTTGCTTCCTTTTTATTGGGTTCATGCAAACTTTGTTGCCCTTTTACAAAAACAAACTAACTTTAGTCTCTGTCCCATCACGATTAGTTGAAACAAATGTAGAAATACATGCAGTGGTTAGTCAGCTTTTATTAATGTTCATAAAGTCTTTTCCTAGAAGTTAAGAAATAAAGGATATATCACCATATATCACTAACCAGAGCTTTTATAAGTTTCAGCAAATAGATCAAGTTTACATTCACCTTATTCTTTGATTTCTCCATATTGGCTGCATTTTTTTTTCTTTGGTATTTGTCTCTTCAAACCAGTGCAAATTTTATTTCTGGATATAATGATTTAATTAGAAGGGCAAGAAGTATGTGGAGTATTTATGATGCTTTGTTTGATACTTCATCTAATCCTGGTTTGTCACTATTCTTTCCCTGGATTTTCTAGTAGTAAATAAATATTTATGCAACTACCCTCCTAAGATGGGATTTTATTATGTAGTCTATTAAAACAGAAAAGTCACACTCATTTTAATTAGTATTTCAGATTTGCTCAAGGTAGTTTTGTGTTGAGAAAACCAACAACTAAAATTTTGTCTCCCTTTCATGCTGCTGTTGTGTGTGAATATTCATTCAGATGGTAAGAAAAACAGTATATTTGTGTGCTTTGTTTTTATGGCTGTTTTTGTTCTTTAGTAGTGATTTAGGAAAAATTTCATCCCTTGCTCCAGATTGCCTAGATCGTATCTTGGTATTTTTATGATATGCCATTTATAACAGTAACATTTCCATGATTGTTTTGTTGCATACTAGCATCACAGCAGAACTGTAGATGTTATGTGCATGTTATAAATATATTTTGCACTGTTTGAGCTAATTATGAAATTAAACAAAAATTGAAGTAATTATGAACCTGAAACTCAACTTAGGAAAATTATAAGCTTGTGTTTGAGATTTGGAGCTCTGGTATTTTAGATTTTTGACAGAGCTTCAGATGAAGAAATAGTGATGATAGGAAAGAAATACAGACTAAATACTCTTCTACCTTAATTTTTTGTACCAAAATTAAGGTTTATATTTGCTATACTTGCAAGTTTATAAAAGGTAAATGTGAAAAATAAAACACTCGGTAGCTGGATCTACTAAAAGACAGTGATGTGAGTTGTTAAAACACGACTAGCATTTTGCCATGTTTTGCCAAGGCCTTGCCCTTAGTGTGCAGTTTGATAGTCTCTGAAAACTTGCTGTGCCATAGAGATTAACAGATCACAGTTCCCAGCTGTGTCATCAGCCTATAGAACGCGAGTTGGGGGGCGGGGCATTTGGTGGAGGAAGGATTCATACTGCAGGTGGCAAAACAGCTGCGGCAGAGTTGCTGGCGTTTCATGACTGTTGGCACTATTTCAGAGATGGTCTTTGAAAACAGGGCCAATCAGAAATGTGTCTTCCTTGACAGTTCCTAGATTGTCAGTGACAGGTGCTGCCTGTTTGCTTCCCCCTAGAACGAGATGTATTTCTAACTGCTTGCTGTCATATGACTGGGGGACCTCTAACTAGGGAGGAGGATTTATTTTGAGCCATTTGTAGTAACTATTTGACAGGGGAGAGGGA